AGCATTAACGTGACTTAAAATCAACCAGCGTTTTGTTCTGCAGTCCGAAACCTTCAGCTCAATATTAAATATAAAAGAAGGACTTTACTTGTCAACTTCAGGGAATCTTTCCAACCCAGAAATATATATTTGTACTCCGTTGCAGAGGCAGGTCGGTGCTTACTTTCTCAGCGTACTCCTCACAGGTTGGTCCCACGGGGACGACCATCACTTGGCGAGGAGAAAGCCACAGTGGCCTGAAAAAGAAAAACAGGACATATCTGCATTTATTTGAGGCTGAACCTTTTCTTTAAGAACTATTATATAGAGAAAAGTAGTGTTTCCACATGATGATCAGGTAAATTACTGCAATAAAATAAAAACAACACATCTTCTATGTCTTGTTCACAAACCATTTGCCTCCGTAGTTTTCAGTCAGAATAGCGATCATCCTCTCTACTGATCCCAGGATGGCTCTGTGGATGATCACTGGTTTCTTCTGGTCATCACCGTCATGACTACAAACAACAACAATAATCTAGTATAAAAAAGTTGAATAATATAAGGGCATTCAGCAATGTAAACAGGTCAATACAGAATTTATTAAGAAAAGGTGGGAGAAGGAAGGCAATATGATTATTTCACTGAAAATTTGGACCACTACGTCAACTTCAGTGGACAATAACAGGGTTTAATACATGGTGAGAGTTTAGCTGGAAGAACATTGTTGGATATTTCACTACCCCTAATCAGAAACATCATCAAGGCAGTGGAGATGCATGTTGGAGACTTTGTGGGGCTACTGGTGCTAAACACTTCCATATTTTCTGGGGATGTCAGGTTATTTCTAACGACTGGGCACAGATTTGTGAACATGTTWATGTWTTTGGTGCAAAACTTCCTCTTAAATGTGAAATACTGTACTTATGTGATGTACCTACAACAAACTGGAATAACACTGATAAAAGATTATTGGGTTTGTTACTTGTTGCAAGCAAGAAAGCCATCACAAGAAAATGGATGAAAGTCGAATCCCCAACCATAGAGGAGTGGATTAACATTGTACGTGAAATATACATCATATGGACAAGTTATCCTTTTCCCTCAAGATGCAAAAAGACATGTTTTACTAGATCTGGACCAAATGGACTGAGTATGTAAAAGCTTTGAGATCAGACTTTACATGAGCAATACAATCTTGGATTTAAATAGTTTGGTTTGTGTTTATTGACATGCTTCCCATGTATGTATGCATGTTTATGCTAGAGGTTGAAAACATTTAAAAATAAAAAAARGTTGAATAAAAGCAGACACCTGAGGTTGCTCACCTGTTTTCWGTAACAAGTGCCTCATTTTAAATGGAATCCACATTTTGCAGCAGTAACAAACTTTACACTGTCCTGGCATGATTCAAAGTTAAACATAACTATTAGACTTAGCTGGGGCCAGGCAGGATTATCTTAATGAAATCTAAAAAAAACAACCCAAAACCTTCTTTTTAATATAATATTTTCCTTCTTATTTATCACATTTGCATGATTTTAATAAAATAAAAGGTCTCAWTCAGAGGCAACATCTCTTCTTCCAGGGAATTTTGGTAAAGATAAAAAAACGTATTTTAGATAAGTTTCTCCCAAACAATTTCAAAAACTAATACAGTAWAAAGCAGCACCTAACTGATAATGAAATAATAGAAAGTTGGACTGATAGTTTTTTTTTTTTATTCTTTCCTGGTAAATTGTTGAATACTTCTAATCTTTCCTGAGATTGTTTTAATGCAATTTACTGTCTTCTATTGTTGTGTGTTCATTTAAAGCTTTTTTTTAAATCTCCCACTTTGTTTTAATTAAGAAAAAATGTTCCTTTTAAATGATGGTATGTTTATTTATATTATATATATATATATACACACACACACACACACACACACATACATACATACACATTACTTTTTTTGTATTGTATACTTATTTTTTTTATTTCATCCTAAAGAAAAAGTAATTGAGCCGTTACCCGACAAAGCTGAGATTAAAGCGGATGGGCAGCTGGAAATCAAGCTGGATGGTGGCACACTGATGGTATCGACCGATGGCATCCTTGATTTGAATATCAATCTGCCGACACAAGACATTCATGGTCAGCAGCAGCCTTCCTGCTGATTTACTGTTAAAMCTGCATCACGGATGGACTGCGCAGCTCACCTTGGGTCCGTAAAAMGCTCCGTCACCCGGGTTCAGAACCCATTTCTCTCCAAACTCGTTTAAACTGTTCTCCAGTTGCTGTGAAAAAAAAAAGAATTATATGTTGTTCTGCTATAGATGTTGTAGCAAAGCAAAAAGTAAACAAAGCTCTATATTCAGACGTGACCTCTACTTTATCTGAAACTAATCTTTCAGCTGGGAAATGTTTACATCCTATTGTTTTATAGTTGTGCCTAAAAATGAATAACATAGGAGAAACAATGAGAAACTTGTTTTTTTTACTGCTCATGCAAAGTTTATCATGTTTATGTTGATCACTGCCACAAACCCGAAGCACACGGAAAAAAATAAAAACTGAAGGAGGAGAAAATTTGTTTATAGGGCAAAAAAAAGCTTATTGTGTAAGACAAAAACCATCCACACAGACAAAATAAAAGCAACCCAAATAAAATGTTTTTGTGGCAGAAATGTGTTCTGGTCACTAAATTTAATTCAGGCTTTGTGAATTTGGAAGCCTTGCTGAATAATTCCTACAGTGAAAAGGAATCCTCACAATAAAACAAGTTCTTTATCAGCTGTCATTTAACACAGATTCCATGAAATTATCTCAGAGCATTCCAAGGATGGATCCGTGCTGCGTTTCATCCCACGCTAAAAGCAGAATTCATTAAATACTCATCATCGCTCTGTGCAGTTATTGCTTAATCATGCTTGTTTTAAATACAAGCTGAGCCCATTAGAGCTGAAGCACTGATGTCAATAAATAATAACTGAGCAGATCTTTGGCAAACCAATGTAAGCAGGGAGAAAAKACTACCTTTTTTTTAAACAAATGGAAGGTTTAAAGAAATATATACTTAGTTTCTACAAATTTGCTCCCTCTATAGACTTGCTGGTGCTTCTGTCTAAATAACATATTCAGCAGCTTCAGAAACAATTTATGAGGCCTTTTTTATATAAATAAATGGACCGAAACAAAAAGACCTACTGTATTTATTTGTGTATAATACGATCTCATGTATAATACGACCCCCCCCCCCTTTGTTTGAGCTTAAAAAGCATAAAAAAAATTTAATCCTCAAACTACCTCCAATTTCATACAGACTTCAAGATTTTTCAACCTTTGCAGTCTTTTTACATATCAGTAAAATGATCATTGGACTGTTCATTTTATTTTAACAACATATGTACTAAAAGGTATTTTGACAACAAATATATATCAGCTGTAGCAGCATCATATGAATTCTGGCATTTTACACATAGTCCACCAGGAGGCGCGAAAATAAAAGTCAGAGACTTCACACGAGATTTGGGCCGTCTTGTGGGAGAAAAGCAGATTACTTCCTACTCGCGAGCGCCCCCTCTGGTGGGGAAACTTTTTTCAGGGATACAAACTTTTTCAGAACACCGGTAGACGGCAGCCATTACAGACGAACATGTGTTTGTTGTTGTTCCAGGAGTGGCCCGGTCACACGCTAATGTCATTAGTTCATTATCATTACTAAGGTGCAGGACTACTTTTTCCCCCTTTTTTTCACATCATGTCACCTGCCTGGATCTGTTACTGTCTCGCTCTGAGGCACGGAGGAGTGTCAGAGGTAATCTTGTTTCAACTGCCTTTTACATCGAGGTCTCATTTCCGGACTCATGCATTTTGTGAATGAAGCCGATATTTCAGTTAAAATACATAAGTAAAAATATTTATCCGAGTATACCCCCAACTTTATGGATGATTTTATGGATTAAATTTTACATATTGTACTTGAACAAATATGGTAATTACCTTTTCAGCTTGGACCCACATCTCTGGATCTCCCAGGAACTTCTCTGGTCTTGTGGAAAGATTGAGTTTGAAAGTGAAGCCAAACACTTCATACACGGTTCGCAAGAAGTCCAGGCAGCCCTTAATCTCCTCTTCAATCTGGGATTGATCATAACAAACACAAGATTTGACACAACCTTAAATGAACTGCCTTGGACCAGAACTGGCCCACGAGCTCATTCTAATCAATCAGCAAACTTTTAAATATTAATCATCACAAATCAAGTTGAAACCCACCTCAAAACACTTCCATCACATCTGTTTAGCAACCAGTTCAGGTTGCAAATGAGAAAATAAAGCAGACCAAACCAAAACTCATTTTGTTTAACCCCCTGAATATGGTTCACTTTCTGAGTCACAAAGTCATAACCTCGTGTTAACTGTGCAGAAAGGTTTCACACTGCTTTGTTTTTATTTAGCAGTAAGAGAATAAGCAGCTGCTGCAAATAACGAGACAAATTAAAAGTGTAATTATTGTTGTACCGAGTGCAATTGAATAATGACCCGTCTGGTCTTTTGCCAAAAGTGGTAAATAAAAACAAAATCAGTCTAAAGCGGCAAATTACTGGATCACCACATTTGAACCCACAAACCATTTAAATGTTCTAAATGTCTGTTTGCTTTAATTGTTACTGGAAGGGATTCAGGTCAAAGAATTAGCAAATTGTTAATCAGGGAGCAGCAGCATGTGGAGTTTCCATCTACAAACATGACAAACTATTCATCACTAATAACAGAACCACTGTGCCAGGAAGACAGTGATATATTGAGTTTTTAGACCTTGACTTTTTGCAAATGAGAATTTGACTGTTTTTCCTGTTAACACTGCTTAAGTGGTTCTTTCCCAAGAAAGTAAAGAATATTGTTTCAACAAATGGAACAAGTTAAACAATGTTTTTTGTTAATAAGTATTATAAATGTGAAGTAAAATGTAACATTTTTATGACTAAAATTTGTTCCCTAAAAGAGCTGAAGAGACATAAAACCAACATTTTTAAAAATGCATAATAACTAAATTTCAGAAATTAGACTTTTTTTCTTTTATTGTTTAATTTTCAAGACTCTAACCTCAACAAACACTGCCKCAGGCTGTGTCACTCCAGGCAAACTAACAGTCACAGACTGCTTCACGCTTCTTTTTAAAGGGATCCCTGATTAGWTGTAACATTAGACTTTATTTGATAAACATGTATTTTAACTGTAAAATAAACACTGTAAAAATACTGTAGGCAGTTTCGTTTTGTAAATTTAAAAAAAAAATTTTTAACACGGACGGAGCCATTTTATTTACACGCAAAGCATTCTGGGTAAATGATGATGTGGATAGGTCCTCGGTGTGAGCGAACTATATCCACCCTGAAGGTTAATCTTGGACAATATCTGATGATCGACTCTTTTAAATGAAACCAGAGAGCGTTGACAGAGAGGAGAAGGTAGAAATGACTCAGCCTGTAACTGAAAATATGGATGGAGGACAACAGAGCTGCTTCATGGAAGAAGAACCTCAGCTTAGCCTGTTAGTCTTTGCGCTAGTGCTGACGTTATATTGCCTTATATGCATTAGCTTGGTGCTAGCGCGACAAACAAGCTAAACTGAGGTCCTCCATCCATATTTTCAGTTGCAGACTGAGTCATTTTTGTGTTCCCCTCTCTGTCATGTGGATGGAGGACCTCAGTGACGAGAGGAGAATGTGTAGCGCTGATATAATACATATATATGGTGATAGCGTCGGGGCTAACTCTAAAGCTAACAGGCTAAGCTGAGGTTCTTCTTCCATGAAGCAGATCTGTTGTCCTCCATCTATATTTTCAGTTACAGGCTGAGTCATTTCTACCTTCTCCTCTCTGTCAACGCTCTCTGGTTTCATTTAAAAGAGTCGATCATCAGATATTGTCCAAGATTAACCTTCAGGGTGGATATAGCTCACTAGCAGCCTAGCACCAAGGACCTATCATGTCATCATTTACCCAGAATGCTTTGCATGTAAATAAAATGGCCCCATCAATGCAATATCTTTCTAAACTTTTAGTTTAAAAATTATAAAAACTGTTCAATAAACAGCAGGCATCAGTTAATTCAGTTTAAAATCACACATCGGTTACACTATTCAAAGGTCAGATTGCACAAGATTTACCCCTCTGTCTCTCCAATGYGTGACAGGTGTAACATGTCTGAAGGCACACTGTCTCATGCTTTTTGGTCTTGTCCTTCACTAACTGGTCTTTGGTCAAAAATGTTTGATTGGTACTCCAAGGCATTTAAGACTCTCTTACAACCTGAACCAGGACTTATAATCTTTGGATGCCCTCGGGTGTCGGGGACTAAACCTGCTGTAATGCGGCAGCCACTAGAACTGGGACTGATTGTTGCCAAGAGACTAATCCTAAGAAACTGGAGGTCCTCTGTTCCTCCTTCCTTCCACCTGTGGGTGACGGACATGATGTCCATGATACAGATGGAGAGACTTCGGATAGGCTCTAAAGACACTTTCTCATGTTACTGGACTCCCTTCTTGGAACACTTTTCGAAGACCAGACTAAGCTGATCAAACCCTTCTATGGTCTCTCCCCTCTGTCGCCCTCGTGTGTATGTGTACCCTTGTATGTGACTATGTATATGTGCTGTGTGGGTATATATGTCAATTGCAATGTTTTATGCTTTGTCCTGTGCATCTGGGCCTTGTTTTGTCTGTTTAATTGTATGTTCTAAACTTTGAAAACTTAAAATAAAATTTATAAATAAAAAAAATTATAAAAACTAAACAGCCTACAGTATTTTTACAGTCTTTATTTTACAGTTAAAATATTTGTTTATTAAATAAAGTCTAATGTTACAACTAATCAGAGAACCCTTTAACAAGGCTTTCACCTGAAAGGGGAGGAGTTGAGTGCGGGTCTCACCTGCTCTATGGAGCAGAAGATGTGAGCATCGTCCTGCTGGAAGCGGCGGACTCGGGTGAGGCCAGTCAGAGCCCCCGACAGCTCGTTTCTGTGCAGGACACCRAAGTCGGCCATGCGGAGGGGCAGCTCTCTCCAGGAACGAGGACGGTGATCAAACATCAGACTGGCGGCAGGCAGCACAACAGGCAGAGAGTAAAAATGCGACCGTCAGCTTCAATCTGGACTCGTCACAATGCTGGAAAATTGCTCCTCTGATTCGGGGCTTCTGTGAAAGCCTGGATTTAATCTTTGATGTAGCTGATAATCACCACAACAARACACACTGGCGAGCTCAATTTGGATTCAAATGCGAGGTACAGACGAGAGCAGACCGAGTAAGGCAGGTAAAAAAAAAAAAAAAGAGACAAAGGATTTGAACACAAAGACAGATCGGCGCTACATTCTGCAATGCAGCATTCGGCTGCAAGTAGAACTGGGTCATTTTACGACTGAAAACACTGCAACAGCATCAGTCTATTATGTGCTACGCTGAACTCAAATAAAAAAAGTTTTGTCGCACAGAAATATAAAAGGTATTTGAAAAGGACTGAGTCAACAACTGATAACGAGCGTCTGTGTACAGTCTCATAAAGCTGGCCAGTTATGGGTCTTATTTTTACTCACAAAGCTAAAGACCGTATCAAAGACAAACATTCCGTGCTGTGAAAGTACTCGTTTATTTATGCTAAAAACATGAAATGTTGATGGAAAACAAGCACCCCTGCCTCCTACACAGGCATTTCTTTGATTGTAAGTGAGGTTTTCATTTCTCCTTTTATATTTGCATTTTCAGAGAGCCAACACTGAATGAATATATGTATATATAAAAAACCCTCACCAGTGTCCGGGGCAGTTCATCGGTTTGAGTGCAAAGGTTTCCTTCTCTGCTTCGAAGGAGAACATGTTCTCGCTGTAATGCTGCCAGTGTCCGGAGGTCACCCACAGCTTGCTGTTGTAGATGTTGGGGGTCACCACCTCTTGAAATCCCCTCCTCCTGTACTCACTCTGTCAAAAAAAAAAAAAAAAAAAAAGATTTTTCAAAAAATGATTTTCAGCAAACAGTTTAGTTACACGACTGCCTAAAGTAAACTCAGAGAATATAAAGGTCTGGGGGTGCAACAATACATGTACCCGTATCGAACAGTGCTTTAGGTTCAATACACACTTATCGAACAATACAGATTTTTAAAATTTACTTTATCAACTTGTTTTTTGAAGATGCTCTGTGTTAAAGGATCAGTGGATCTGTGTTCGACTACTCCACCTAGGCTGCAT